GGGCATTTAAATGGTCATTGGATAAACATATGGATGATAATGGAATAATTTAGGTTAGATGGGCTTCAGATTAGTTTCACAGGTCGGCGCAACATCGAGGGCCGAAGGGCCTGTACTGCGCTGTAATGTTCTATGTTCTATTGACCAGATGGCAGAGAGACCAACCGCACCCAGGCAGCTGTTTTGGCTGACTGGGGCCAAGGGCTGTTGAACAAGCCTGGAACCAGCTCAGCCTGGCATGGTAGGGAGAAAGAAGAGACCAGCTCCATTGAATTAAATGTGGTGACAATTAAATTTCTCCTTGTCGTACAAAATTAACAGATACCCAGAGTGTGAGGTCTGGCATCCAGTCAGGCTACGGATGACTCATTGGAAAGGTGAGACCCTCTCACATAATTTAACGATGCAGTAAGCCCGGAGGAACAAGGCAAAAGATTGGAACCACACCCAAATGACCAGGCCCCAGGGGCACCCTTTGGCTGTAATTTTGGACAGAAGATCAGATCAGCTGGCAGCCAATGGTAGGCGAAAGGATTTGGAGAGTTACAGCAGCCAGTTTAAGCGCTCAGTTGCCTGCTCACTGTCCATCTGAGGGACAGCACACAGATTAAGTGCCAGTAGCTGGCAGCTGAGTGGGTGGTGGCAGGAAGCAATGGTTCGGTGCAGGCAGGCACCATAGCTGGCCTCCAGCATTGTTGAACAGTGCCTGAAACTACTTGGCTGGACCTCTAAGGACGGCCCAAAAGATGTCTGAAACTACTGAGTGAGAGCAGGAAATGATATGGGAGTGGAGGCTGCCATTGGAGTACAGGAGTGTCCCTAACCTGAGCAACCTCATCAAAATATCCGAATGGAGAATAACCCAACAAATGAGCATACAGCATGACTTGTCCAAAAATCACGTATGGCTAAAATGTGTGAAATGGTTGACAAAATATTCAAAGCACTTTCAGAAACTAGGTCTGAAGAGGGGAAATGGTTAACCAGTATGCAGGCTAACCATTAATCAAGTATCTTAAAAACTGATTAAAAGACAAATAGTTAATAAAAATGTTGAAAATGATGTTTGGGAACTAAGTCTGAAAGGAGGACCATTCTGCCGTCTGAAGTGGCCTAGGAAGCTAGTGGGTGCAAGGGTAATTAGGGATGGACAATGAATGCTGGTCTTGGTGACAACACCTACATCTGATGAAAGAATAAAGATCAGTAAAACCCAAGTCTTGGCCTAGGCCTTGCTGCAAATGGAAACTGATATGTTTGGTCTCTGAGGGAGCTGGTACAGACACGATGGGGTCCAGTAGCTTCCTTTTGTCGTGTAAAATTCTATGATTTCTAACTGTCATGAATGATGCTGAACATTGTCCACTCATCAGTGAATGTTCTCACTTCTGACCTTATGATGGGGAGTGAATGTCATTGAAGCATCTGATGATGGTTGGGCCTAGCACACTATCCTAAGTATTTGAAGGGTGGTGTCAGCACTGTATTAGCATCCCTATCTTTGCTCCTCGTGGTCTGTGTTCAAGTCCCATCTGCCCCAGAGCTGTGTAATAACATCTCTCAACAGGTTGATGAGAAATTAACTATGCTGAGGAATTGCTGCACTGTTATCCTGGAGATGAGATGATTGACCTAAAATGACCACAACCATCTTCCTTTTTGCTAAGTATGACTATGAACCAGCAGAACGTTTTCTCCCCACCTCATTCCCATTGACTTCAGCTTTCCAAGGGCATTAAATGTCAAATGTAGTCAAATGCAGCCTTGATCTCAAGGGCTGCCACTCTCACTTCACCTCTGGAATTCACCTCTTTTTGTTCATGCTTGGATCAAGGCTGCAAATGAGGTCAGAATTGCTTCTAACGTAATTATATCCTGTCTTAAATTAAGGAAACCAAAATTCTACATAGTACTCCAAATGTGGTCTCAGCAATGGCTTTTATAAATGTAGCAAAACTTCCCTACTTTTATGTTTGATTCTGTCTAGAAAATACAACATTCTATTCACTTCCTAATCACTTGCTGTACCTGCACACTAACGTTTTGTAATCAGAACTTGTGCCTCAAGCAATGGAAATGAAAAGGCCACCAAAGGCATGTTAAGTGTTTGTCAGCCTCAAGGCATTCCCTGGCAGCTGACACCTTGGGGACACCCTCCCATTCCATAATTGTGATGCTTCCTATAACTTAACCTGGTAAGGATGGGATGGGCCAGAATTTGAGGCCTCAAGGTGGGCTGCAGCTGCTCACTTACTACATGTCCAATAATATAGGTGTCCTTCTACTATTCAAAGGTGAAAATAAGTCCCACTTGAAGGATATGCAGAAAATGAAGAAGGGTCCAGACTCGAAACATCAGCTTTCCTGCTCCTCTGATGCTGCTTGGCCTGCTGTGTTCATCCAGCTCTTCCATAATATCCGAGATATCCATAATATCTGAGATAACCTTATTATCTCAGATTCTCCAGCATCGGCAGTTCCCACTATCTCTGAATTACTTTTTTTTATGTGACATGATTATACAAATCCACTGAATCACATCAATGTGGTGAAAACAAAGAGGCAAATTTCATCTAAATGCAAAAATGAGGGCAGGAGAAATTGTGATGAAAGTTTGTTTTTGTGAAGACAGCCAGTGATGCTACATCACGGACTTGCAGTTTCAAACATGACATTTCCTCCTTAAGTCACCAGGTATTGTTGGTAATGCTAAAGCATCACGTACAGTTGCCTTTTTAATGGCTCAGCCCATTGCATAAACTGCTTTGCTTCCCTCCTTGATAATCGAGTGCTATACAACCACTGACTAACTGGGCTACTGTCAAACTTCTTTCATGAGGAAAATGTTCAAATCCTACATTTATCTAGTGCCCTTTGTGAGCTCAAGTCTTCTCAAAGTGCTTCAATAAAGAATTTAGAAATGCAGTCCCTGCTGCTTTGTAGGGAAGTATGGCAGCCAATAAGGGCCTACAAACATTTAAGAAGTTATTAAATGACCAGATAGTGTGCACCAGATTTCTTCAGCAAGTGGATATTGGGAGTCTGAAATTTTCCTGACTATATAATCCTTTTCGCTTCATGGAGGAGTGCACCTACCCTATTCCTTTGTTGAAGAGCTGGTCACGGATTGGAGACAGACCCACAATCTAATGAGGCAGCAATGGAGACAGGAGGATGTCAAGGCTAAGTTAGAAAACAACGTAATTGTATTAATGGTCATCCAGCCCTCAATATCTCAGCCTCCGAGGCATTCTCATATGTCTCATGCCCCCTTTTCCCCCTCCAAGTCTACTCACCACGTATGGAGTAGGTGCACAACTAGTTAACCATGTCTTTGAAATTTTATTAAAAAGATAAAAATACATTTGATCAACATTGCCTATCTTATCTTCCCATACAAAATTAAATAAACACAGGTATTAGAGGAAACTTTTAAACCACTTTATGCTTTTTTAATCTCATCCAAATCAGATAGTAAACATTCACAATCCTGCAAGAACAGCAAACAAAGTCAGCACTTCCCTTTGTAACTGAGTAAACAAACACCTGCTAGAATCAGGCTATTATGCGTGTTGGGTTTCAGCCTGCTTCTTCCGATACAGGAAATGTTGAATGCATACTTGCTGTGTTTCTTCCAGCAGCAGATAGGGTTCCCTCATGGTTTATGCCCCTCAGAGAAGGCATCAAGCATGTCTTCTGTAAAATGTTGGCCTGACTCCATGTAAGTCAGGAGAGTCTGAAATGTCCATCCTTGTAATGGAGTGGAAATAGTAGGATTGTTAGGTGCGGGTTCACTGGCCACACCCTTATCCTGTGCCAACAAAAGTGGATGAAAATGGGAATTAGTGGAGTATTTCTGGATTGGGTTTAACCTTCTAATAATAAAGCCCTTCCACCTCCATTCCAACATGGATGGAGATGTGAAAATGCCCCTATTTCATACATTAGGTATAATTGTTGGCCAGAATATCGGGGACAGTTCTCCTGACCTCCTTCAGGGTGTTAACATCTCCATAGAGGGCAGACTGAACTTCAGTTTAGCAGCTCATTCAAAAAATGGTACTTCTGACAGTGCAGCTCTCCCTTCAGACTGTCCTGGGAGATTCAGGCCACATTGTGTGCTTTCATCTCTATGTCTCTCATCTTTCTGACTCAAGAGCTGAGAATGCTACCAATCATCCAAACAGACAGTGGATGGTAATGACCAGTTAATAGCATTATCCTTTTGGAGCGTGAAAGCTTTTCTGATCTGTAGCAGTGAATATTTCCTTTCCTGTAGGATTGGGTGCACGATTATGTGAATCAATCCGGGAGGAGTTTCCAATGGGCTATATTCTCTCTGTGACGGTCGCTCCACATCAGGTCGGGGAAAGCCCACTCCAACATTACAACTCCCTGCTCTGCCTTTCCTGGCTTCAGAGGTAAGACTTCACTCCAGATGCTACATGCTTTAAACAACATTTGTTTCTCTGTCTGAGCGTTTGTGCTCTTCAAACTGATGGGAACAAACACTTTCCATTGCAGGCCACCAGGTGGCAGCAATAAGCATTCCCAATCGAAAAAGTTAGACTTCCCTTCCATTTCCTGTGATTAGATAAATCACATCTTGCATACCCTACACTTGACAACAGGATATCTTAGAGCCACCTCAGAAAGAGAAAGACTCTGAGTGCAGTGCCTGATATTTGCTCTGTTGTATCTGCCTGTTTGGCTCTGTGGGTAACTCTCTCCTCTCTGAATCAGATGTTAGTGGCTGGCACTCGCTAACACTGAGGGAGTGCTGCACAGTCAGAGATGTTGCCTTTTTGATGAGATGTTAAGTTGAGGCCTCCCCATCATGCTCTCAGGTGGATGGAAAAGCTCTCAAGACAGTTTGTGCAGAAGATTAGGGGAGTCCTTTAGGCTGACAATAATCTTCTGTCTTGGTTAGAAATATCCTTTTGGACTATCAGTATTGCCTCCTTTTCAAATCAGGGCCCGAGTGTGAAGTCTAGGGGCGGCACGGTGGCTCAGTGGTTAGCACTGCTACCTCACAGCACCAGGAACCCGAGTTCAATTCCAACCTCAGGTGACTGTGTGGAGTTTGCACATTCTCCCCCTGTCTGCGTGGGTTTCTTCCAGGTGCTCCGGTCTCCTCCCACAGTCCAAAGATGTGCAGGTTAGGTGCATTGGCCATGGGACATGCAGGGTTACAGGGCTAGGGTGGGGGTGTTGCTCTGGGTGGGATGCTTTTGGAGAGTCGGTGTGAACTCGATGGGCCAAGTGGCCTGGTTCCACACTGTAGGGGTTCTATGATTCTAGTTTGGGCTGTTCTATTCAGCATCATTTTCTTTTGTGTATTTGACATTTTTTGTAGGTATGCTGATGGGGTACTCCTGTTTCACAATGATGACATATTGCGCAGGACGCAGGCCTTGTGTGGAAGGAAGATCGACCACACCACAGCTCAACAGCCACAAATTTCTTTGTCCGACATGAACACACTCATTGCTTCCTGCCTGGCAGGATTGATGTACCCAGTGAGCAACCTCCGAACCCGAAGGTAGATGTTCAGTACATGCCAAAGAATTTGATTTGGTTTGATTTTATTATTGCCCCATGTACTGAAATACAGTGCAAGGACTGTTTTGCATGCTATCCAGACAAATCATACGTTACATAAGTATATCAGGGTAATAGAACAGAATGCAGAATATAGTCTTACAGCTACAGAAAAGGTGCAGAAAAAAGTCAGTTTAAACAGAGGTCTGTTCAAAAGCGGGGACAAAGCTGTTCTTGAATCTGTTGGTATGTGTTTTCAAACTTTTGTATCTTCTGCCTGATGGAAGAGGGGGGAAGAGATTATAAACGGGAGGGGTCTTTGATTATGTTGGCTGCTTTCCTGAGGCAGCAGGAAATGTGGACAGTCAATGAAGGGAAGACTGATGGACTGGGCTGCGTTCACAACTCTCTGTAACTTCTTGCAGCCTTGGGCAGAGCAGTTGCCTTACCAAGCTGTGATGCGTCTGGACAGGATGTTTTCTATAGTGCATCTATAAAAAATTGATAAGAGTCATTGTGGACATGCTGAATTTCCTTAGCCTCCTGAGGAAGTAGAGGCATTGGTGTGATTTCTTAACTGTAGCATCAATGTGGATGGAGCAGGACAGAGTTTTGGTGATATTTACTCCTAATATGTTCTCAATAGTAGGGACATGGGGAGAGAGAGAAAAGAACATTCCTCTATTGGATAATGTTTCTGAACCCTAATGCTGGACCTTCCCAAACCCTTCTTCTTGTATTCGCTACCAGAGATTCACATCACCCCAATCCCCCACCATTTGCTGAGTATCATGCCTTGCTGGCTCAGAGCCAGTCAATAAGAATCTCAAATCATTGAATCATTCACACAAGACATGTATGGACCATTAACATGTCCAACATTAATTGCCTGATACTGTATGGTGTGACTTGTTAGGCTATGTTAGATAGTTCAGAGTCAACCATATTGCTGTGGTTCTGTAGGCTAGACTGGGTAAGCAGGACACATTTCTTTCTTTGCAGGATATTGGTGAACTAGTTATGTTTTTACACAAATTCAGAAGTTACATCATTACTATTATTGATATTAACATTTTTAATTCCAAATTTACCCACTAACTGAACTTAATTCACTAGCTGCTATGGTAGGATTTTAACCCCATCTCTTGATCAGTAGGCCAAATCCCTTATGACTCATAGGCCTGTCCTGTAAAAGAGTTATCCATTGAGTACTCTTCCCCTTTACTTTCCCTGTAGCTCTGCAGATATTTCCAAATAGAAAGGGTCATACTTATTATTCTATTATTTACATTATATTTATATTATATGCTTCATTATACTTTATAGGGGACAATAAGATAGAATCATAGAATCATAGAATCCCTACATGTGGAAACAGGCCACTCGGGCCAACAAGTCCACACCGACCCTCCAAACAGCATCCCACCCTGACTCATCCCCTTCCCCTGTCCCTGTAACCCTGGACCCTAATCTACACATCCCTGGACACTATGGGCAATTTAACACGACCCGATCCACCTAACTTGCACACCTTTGGACTATGGGAGGAAACCGGAGCATCCGGTAGAAACCCACGCAGACGCAGGGAGAATGTGCAAGCTCTACGCAGACAGTCAGTTGCCTAAGGGTGGAATCGAACCCAGGTCCCTGGCGCTGTGACAATAAAAATCATTCATTCATGTTGATACCTCTATATTGTACGAAGTGCATTATTAATGGCGAGTATACACTGCTTGGTGGGATCAAAACTCACAAAATTGTCTTAGTCCAATGTTTAACAGCAAGAAATAGTGTCTTATACAGAACTAAATGTCTAATTTAAGCTAATTATTTTTGATGTCCTTCTGTAGAATTCAGCATCCTTAACTTTACTCTCCAAAACGTACTCCTTTTCTTTACGAAAACAAAAAGTCAAATTAGTTATATAGCACATGGGAATCGGAAGCTGACGTAGTGTGAGCACGTTGCTTAATGATCCTTTTGGCATTATGTACCTGGAAGCTCCTGTTTCCAGTAACAAAACCTTCTCCACCCCCACCCCTGTCCAAATAACCTTAATGCTGTCCCCATCCCCAGTTTGGGAATCATTGCCCTGAAGGGTAAACAAGTAAATCCTGTTTTTAATCTGCAACTCAGAGCTGGATGGCTGATGTAGCAAAGCTAATGGGTGGATTTTCAGACAGGGATAGGGGGCAAGTTCCTATTTTAACCTCCTCAGCATCATGACTAATCTTTTGAGAAGTGAGGTCACTGTAAATTGGCTATAGTTTACCCCACCATTCCTATAGTAAGTACTGTATGAGAAAGATTGATAGAATTAAACCAGGTCTGGCTCTGTGGACTAGAACGTATGGACACTAACTCCTTGATTAATCTACAGGAAACATTGAATTTTGCCTTTCATATTATTTTTGCAGAGCTAACGTACAGTTAAAATTCTTCAACAAAATTTTAGAATCAGAATTAATTTTATTTCCCACGGATCTAAGGCCTGGACTCCCAGGTGATGAACATTTTTTTTTTAAATGGAGTTGTAGACTTTCTAATGACTCATTAGTTGAAAGGTAGAATCTAGAATTAAGACACAGACCAGAAAGTCCTAAATTTGTCTCCAATCTGCCTGAGATAGCTTATTCTTTACTTGCCATGTTCCCCTTGGCTTCAATGATTCTATGCCACTAGCTGGTGACCTCTGTTGAAAATATGTATGTTTGAAATAAAACATCAAAATGAAACAAATAGTAACAGCAGTGGGCCGTTGAGTCTGTTCCACTATTCAGTGATGTACCGGCTATACTTACCCATCAACCTCACTTTCTTGTCCTTTCCATATAATACCTTAATCCTGTTACTGCTGAAAAAAAGCTTAAAGAACAACAGGGAAATCATCCCCAGTATTTTGCCCAATACTTATCACTCAACCAAAATTAACAAATACAGTTAATCTTGTAATTATTGCATTGCTATTTGTGGGAGCTTGCTGTCTGCAAATTGGTAGCACATTTTCTACCTTACAACAGTAACAACACTTCAAATATATATAATTGGCTCTCAAGCTCTTTAGGATGACCGATTGTGAAAGGTACTATCTAAATGCAAATATTCTCTTTTAAAACTACATTGTTTACATGAGAGAGAGCAGGAACTGCAGATGCTGGAGAATCTG